CACTCGCTGCGAAAACATCACGGCGGATGTTGTTTTTTGGTTCATTTTCAATCTCCACGGGCCGGGAGCGTCAACAGGACGATTCAGGATGAGAGGCCGGTCTCAGGGAAGGGGTCCAGACCTCTGGAGAGCCACGTTGTGTAAATTAGCTTGGCGAAGGACCCAACCAGATGCAGCTGTAAGTATTGCAGCCGTGAAAATCGTCTTCGGTGGAGCTCTTTATGGGGGCACGAAACGTGGTAGGGGTGTGCCAAAGTTGGATGGTTGCAGCACGCGGGCGCTGCCACAGGTGCTTTCAGTGGAGCTTCCTCTAGGGCCTTCGGTGGAGCTCCCTATTGGGGGCAACGAAACGTGGGTGTGCCGAAATGGGTAAGGCAGGCGCATGCCGACGCTGGCTTTTGGGCCTTCGGTGGGGCCCCTTTTGATGGAGGCCACGAAGCGTATGAGAGGTGTGCTGACATGGGTGCGGCGGGCACATGCGAACGCTGCCTTTTGAGCCTTCGGTGGAGCTCCCTATGGGAGCCGCAAAACGCATGAGGGGTGTGCCAACACGGGTGCGGCGGGCTCATGCGGACGCTGCCTTTGGGCCTTCGGTTGAGCTCCCTATGGGGCCACGAAACGTGTGAGGGTTGTGCCGACATGGGTGCAGTGGGCGCATGCGGGCGCTGCCTTTTGGGCCTTCGGTGGAGCTTCCTATGGGGGCCACGAAACGTGTGGCTTCCTACGGAGCCACGAAGCCTGTGAGGGGTGTGCCGAAGTAAGTGCGGTGGGCGCGTTCGGGCGCTGCTCTTTGAGCCTTTGGTGGTGCTCACTATGGGGCCACGAAGCGTGTGAGGGGTGCACCGAAATGGGTGCGGTGGGCGCATGCAGGCGTTGTGTTGTTGCGCCTTCGGTGGGGCTCCCTATGGGGGCCACGACACGTGTGTGGGGTGTGCCGAAATCGGTAAGGCGGGCGCATGCGGGCGTTGCATTTTGGGCCTTCGGTGGAGCTCCTTCTGGGGGCCGCGAACGTGTGAGGGGTGTGCCGACATGGGCGCAGTGGGCGCATGCGGGCATTGTTTTCTGGGCGTTTGGTGGAGCTCCCTATGGGGGGCACGAAACGTATGAGAGGTGTGCCGAAAAGGGTGCGGCGGGCGCATGCAGGCGTTGCCTTGTTGGCATTCGGTGGAGCTTACCATGGGGCTACCAAACATGTGAGGGGTGTGCCGACATGGTCTGTTGGTGCCATGGGAAGGCAGCAAGTTGGGTCGCATGCGGATGATGATGAGGATGATGTTGATGATGATGATGATGATGATGATGATGATGATGATGATGATGGTGAGGTTGATGATGGTGATGATGACCGTGGTGATGCTGCTGATGTTAATGATGCTGATGATGGTGATGGTGATGGTGCTGATGCTGATGGTGCTGATGTTGATGACGATGATGAGGATGATGACGATGGTGGTGATGCTGATGCCGTTGGTGCTGATGATGATGCTGATGATGATGGTGGTGGTGATAGTGATGATGATGCTGATGATGGTGGTGATGCTGATGGTAATGGTGCTGGTTTGGGTGCTGGTGGTGATGGTGGTGATGATGATGGTGGTGGTGATTATGGTGATGATGACGATGACGATGCCGATGAGGATCGTGATGATGATGATGATGACGATGGCAACGCCGAAGGCGATGATGATGATGACGACGACGATGCTGGTGATGATGATAATGATGATGATGATGATGCTGATGATGATGATGATGATGATGATAGTGATGATGATGATGATGATGATGATGATGACGAGGGTGATGATGATGATGGGGTGATGATGGCGATGACAGTAAGGACGTGCGGAGTGCGAAGGGCAGAGGCAGGGATGGGAGGAGGAGAGGAGGTGAGGAACGCGAGACGCTGTCTCTTCAAAACGTGGACCAAACACCACAGGATGGTTGGACAAAACATGCGGCGTCGGCTGTCTTGGAGGAGGAAGAGGAGGAGGAGGAGGAGGAGGAGGAGGAGGAGGAGGAGGAGGGGGAATTTTCCTCCGTCTCCTCTCCTGTCCCATGCACGGGTACGTGCCGCCTTCGGGCTGGGGAGGGTCCTGCTCGGCAGCGCTTCACATCGCTGCCGAGCAGGAGGAGGAGGAGGACCAGTGCAAACCCACGACGCATCAACGATGTTGTAAGGAACCCTCCATCCACGCTCCCTCTTCATATGTCCTCTCACTTCATATGTCCCCTCCTTTCGTTGCGGGAAGTGCCCCAGTGGAAGACAACAGTTTGAAAGTCCTCAATCGTGCCAGACCACCATTTCTGGGCAACGCCGCGAACCGACGTGACTCTTGCGTTCTGACAATCTAGGCCAGTACCCTCGCGTGCAAGGCGATTTCGATCCTTGGCGCGCAGGGGACTTCGACTGTCTCATTCACCTCGTACCTCCCCTCGCCCTCCCTCACCTTCCTTCCCCACCACCACTCTCGCTCGCACTCCCAGAACATCCCCCAACAACAGCACATCCAGAAACAGTCACCAAGCGAGTTGCCCTGATCAGGGATGTGTAGCAACACGCGGCCCGGCAGTGAACCGCGTCCGTCTTCGCAGATATTTCGAAGGATGAGGGGGGGGGAGGTGGAGGAGGAGGTGGAGGAGGAGGAGGAGGAGGAAAAGGAGGAGAAGGAGGAGGAGGAGGAAAAGGAGGAGGAGGAGGAAGTGGAGCAGGCTCCCCGTGACTGGTCCTGGTTGAGTGGTTGCTCCGTCGTCGCCTGCAGTGCCCGTGGTGCGTCGTGCGTCCCCGGGGCCGCCCTGGTTGAGCGGTTGCCTGTTGCTGCTCGCCGTGCGTGCATTCGTGTTTAACCCGTGCAGACCGACGACGACGACAATGACGAAGACGACGACGACGACGACGACGACGACGACGACGACGACGACGACGACGACAGTCGGAGGCGGCAAAGAGGGGGGTGATGACTAGGGGGGGGGATATCATGGCGTGGGCCATGATGTTTTCCCAGATTTCAGTGAGCCCCCTCCGCCTGGGCCCGAGCATTGGCCTCGTAGGGCCCTTCTGGGGCGTTCTGGGGACGCTGTTGGGCGCTCTTGGCGTTCTCTGGGGGCCATCCGGGGCCCGTCTTCCGGCCCTCTTGGGCTATCTTGGGGCTTCAAAGGCCCATCAGAAGCGAAAAGGCGAGAATGCAAACAACAGTCAAAAACAATTTGGTTTTGAATGAGTTTGGCCTCTTGGAGCGCCTCCTTGGGAGGCTCGAAGCATGTTGGGCCGTCCCAGGGCAATCTTGAGGGCTCTGGGTGGCAAATTGTAGGCCATCGTGCCTCATCTTGGGATTTCTTGAGCAATCCTGGAGGCCTGGGCTCTCTGGGGCCCTCCTGGAGCCACCCGGGGCCAGAAAGGACCCTCCGACACCTCGCGGGGGGAAGCTTCCAGGCCCAGGGGCAGGGGACCGGGGGAGGGGAGCCCCATCCCCCAAGGGGAAGAAGGGGGGCTCAGCAGAGCGAGCCCCCCAGACAGCTCACGCCCAGAGGGCGCGCGGGACTGCTGCAGGGTTCCGCGGCACGCGCCGCCACGGGGCCAGGGCCACCGAGGCGGGTGCCCCGCGGCCGGGTGCCCTCTGGCAGAACGCAGCGGGGGGCGGCGGTCGAGCGCGCGGCGGCGGCACGGGGCGGAGCGGCAGGGAGGGCGCCGCCCTCTTCGTCGATGCGAGCCTGTGCCTGCCCAGTAGCTCTTCGAGCCGGGGATCGACGGCGGAAGTGAGTTACCCAAGCATTGTTTTGTTCCGTCGGGTTGCGAAGTATACGTAGCATGCTCCTTGTGGATCTATGGAGCATCGTACGCATTTCTGGTGGACTCGGCGGAGAAATCAATTTTGGAGTAGAGCAGTTCTGCAGTCGATCCCCCAGCCGAACTCTCCAAGGCCGCCTCGGAGCGTTCCAACAGCCCCCCCTCCCAACGCAGCCCCCACGACGGCTTCCCTTGCGCTTGACGTTTGTGTCGGCGGCCTCCTTCTAGGCACACAGCTTTTACGTCCGGCGAATTTGGGCGACCGAATCCTGGAAGCGAGTTGGTGGTGGCGTTTTCGCGGCGAAAAAAAAGCACTAGACCGTCTCATGACATGCCCATGCGAGCTAATCAAACACCCCGACGGCGCTTACACGCCCCCGCTACACTGCAAGCTCCCAGCAGGCCTCCAAGATGCTGCGAGGCCGCTGACAGACCGAGTACATCAGAGCAGTACCTCATGCACCACTCTTCGAGTGAGGGGGTCATTGGGAGCTGGATGGGCGCAGCTCTTGGTTTGCGATTGGCGTCCGATCCCGTCAGCTCGTCAGATGTAACACAAGGTTCTGTATTGTGGCCAGCGCGCGCGAGAAAGTCAACCGCCTGTACCCTGGTCCCTCGCTCGGTCCAGCGGAAGAGTTCGCGTGCGGGGTGCCATATTTCTGTCGACCGCAGCATGAGCTCTCTTTGCTGTTCTATATCTACATATATATATATATATATATAATATATAATTATATATATATATATATATATATATATATATATATGCTTGGTCCCCCCCCAGCGACCCCCCAGAGCGCCCAAAGCACGAATCCACAGAATACTTTGGCGTGCCATCCAGGCTGACAAACTCATCCGCTCGGCCCATCCGTTACGGGCACCGTGCGCGCAAGCATATCGGTTTCGGCCGAGGCCACGAAACACTGTGCATCACAGGTTTTTCTGGTTCTTCTGGTCTGGGAACCAACGAAACACTGTGTATCACAGGTTTTTCTGGTTTTTTTTGCTTCTGGAGCTGAAATGCTCGCCGCGGCGTCGCCCCACCGCCCACCCCTCCTGTTTGTCGGCACCTGAAAACCAGAAAAACATGTGATACACAGTGTTCCGTTTGTTCCCAGACCAGAAAAAACAGAAGAACATGTGATGCACAATGTTTCGTGGCCTCCGAGCAAGAAAACACTGTGTACTCTTCGGGGACTACAGCGCTCGCCGCTCACTGGCAGTGCTCCTTGAGAAAGGCCTCCTCCAGCATTTTCCCTGTTGCCAGCCACAAACCCTCGCCCCTGTGCCAGTACAACCACTGGTAGGAGCGGATCTTGTTGGTCAGCGCCTTGGTGTTCACTGTCTTTTTGTTCCCTAAGTGTTTCCGCGGCTCGCCCCAGATGCGGTCGATGATCTGGGTGCCAGCTTTAACCCAAACGCGCTTGGTCTTGTTGGGCTTGCTGTCATCTGGAACATCGTGGTGGGTGATCTAGGTGAACTTAGGCTTGATCCACATCCACTTACCCTTGACCATGACGCGCTTCTTGGCGTGGACAACCCAATCATGCTTGCCCCATTCGGGTTTCAACTTATAACTCCTGGCCCCGCCCGTGTGCACTATCATGGACCCACTTGTAGGCCAGAGGCTTCCAATCGCGCTTGCGGATCGGGCCTGGGCCTGGCGCCCGCATCTTTGTCTTCGCTGGGTCCAGTTTGAACAAGACGAGGGGTTTCTGGTCGCCGCGCTGAACCATGCCGCCCCATTGCTCCCAGATGACGGGCTTGTCAGTCGCAGCGTCTGTGTTGGGGTCTTCTCCTTTGGCGATGTCCACTTCGTCGGCTTCTACGTCCTCCCAAGGCAAGTCGGCACCGAACTTGATGTTCTTCTCGTGCTGGACCACGCTCTTGGCGCGCACCGCGTGCAAGGACTCGTAGATGCTCTCCGTGAGCGCATGATTCTTCTGCAAGAGAAAACGCACGGAAGTCTGCGAGCATTTCGCAATCGAGCAGAAGAGCACAGAAGCTTGATCTGCCAAGCTCACGTGCGACTGCCCCGTACCGCACTTGAAGATGGAGTGGAAAGCGTGCGGCAGCACGCGGCGCTTGCACTCCTTGCTATTGCAGCGGCAGGCCCACCCTCCATTCGAATCGGCGTAGTGCTTCAGAGGGCCAAGAGTGCCTTCCCCGCAATAGGGGCACGTGACGCCCTTCCAATCAGGGAGGGCTGCGACTGACAAGCCTGTCATCTGGGAGCAATGGGGCGGCATGGTTCAGCGCGGCGACCAGAAATCCCACGTCTTGTTCAAGCTGGACCCAGCGAAGACAAAGAGGCGGGCGCCAGGCCCAGGCCCGATCCGCAAGCGCGATTGGAAGCCTCTGGCCTACAAGTGGGTCCACAAGCGCAACATCATACTGCACACGGACGGGGCCAGGAGTTATCAGTTGAAGCTCGAAGGGGTCAAGCATGATTGGGTTGTCCACGCCAAGAAGCGCGTCATGGTCAAGGGTAAGTGGATGTGGATCAAGCCTAAGTTCACCAAGATCACCCACCACGATGTTCCAGATGACAGCAAGCCCAACAAGAACCAAGCGCGTTTGGGTTAAAGCTGGCACCCAGATCATCGACCGCATCTGAGGCGAGCTGCGGAAACACTTAGGGAATAAAAAGACAGTGAACACCAAGGCGCTGACCAACAAGATCCGCTCCGACCAGTGGTTGTACTGGCACAGGGGCGAGGATTTGCGGCTGGCAACAGGGAAGATGCTGGAGGAGGCCTGTCTCAAGGAGCACTGCCAGTGAGCGGCGAGCGCTGTAGTCCCCGAAGAGTACACAGTGTTTTTTGGCTCGGAGGCCACGAAACATTGTGCATCACAGGTTTTGTTTGGTTTTTCTGGTCTGGGAACCAACGAAACACTGTGTATCACATGTTTTTCTGGTTTTTCTTGTTTTCAGGTGCCGACAAACAGGAGGGGTGGGCGGTGGGGCGAGGCCGCGGCGAGCATTTCAGTTCCAGAAACCAGAAAAACAAGAAAAACCTGTGATACACAGCGTTTCGCTGGCTCCCAGACCAGAAAAACCAGAAAAACATGTGATGCACAGTGTTTCGTGGCCTCGGCCGAAACCGATATGCTTGCGCGCACGGTGCCCGTGACGGATGGGCCGAGCGGATGAGTTTGTCAGCCTGGATGGCACGCCAAAGTTGAGTTGTGAAAAAAACGAAGGGCTTCAACGAAGCGATTCTGTGGATTCGTGCTTTGGGCGCTCTGGGGGGTCGCTGGGGGGGGGGAATCGACCACACATATATATATATATATGTATCTATATATATATATATATATACACATATATATATATATTATACAACATAGAATGGAAAAAAGAAAGGAATAAGAAACAAAAAAACGCCCGCCATGATTCCTTGACGACACCTGGATATGTTACGTTCGACTACGGTTTCGAAACGAAGCGAAGGGAGGCCCCGGGGCCCATCAGAGGCCTGACTCCTCAGGACGCCCCTCCCCAGAAACAAAAAGCATGCATGTCCTCGATCCGACGACGACGACGACGATGACGACGACGACGACGACGACGACGACGACGACGACGACGACGACGACGACGACGGCGGCGGCGGCGGCGGCGGCGGCGGCGGCGGCGGCGGCTTTGGCGACTGCGACGGCACTGGCGGCGGCGACGGCGACGGCGGCGGCGGCAGCGGCGGCGGCGGCGGCGACGGACACGGCGACGGCGACGGCGACGAGAACGGCCACGGTGACGACAACGGCGACCGCAACGGCGAGGACCACCATCACGACCACGACGACCTGGGGACGAGGCGGGGGCTCGGCGCTGCACCATCTCCCGTGTTGCCCCGAGGCGGCGGCGCAGCGCCTCGAGCAGGAGCTCGGGACCGCGGGCGCGGGCGGCCCCGCCGCAGGCGCAGCGCGGCACCTCGGCGATTCAAAGATGGGGCCCTGTTGGACGGGGCCCTAAGGACGAGTGGCCTCAAACAGTGAAGGCTCAGCTTGGGATCCCCCTCCACTCCTCCGAGCCCCATCCCACAGGGGCCCATCTTTGAGTCGCGGAACACCGTCCTCTCCTCCTGGTTAGGCCTGCCCCGACTCCAGGGCACGGCGGCACCGCCACCGCACAGGCCACGACGCCCTCCGTGTGCTGTGCACGGCGCGCTGCAGGCACGGGCCGCGCCCTCGGAGCGCCTCGCCCCCCCCCCCGGCGGAAGGCCGGCGGAGGCCGGCGCGGGTCAAACGGCGGCGGAGGTCGGGGCTCAAGAGGCGGGGGTCAATGCAAATGGGGGTCGGCCAGAGCGCCGGGTCTTGCAGGACCCTGCAGGGCCAGGGCTGCATTGACCCCGGCTTGGGTGCAGGATCCTGCATCATCATGCAGGGCCCGACTGACCCGGGTTGGCATTGACCCGGGTCAGTGCGCTCCCGAGGAGTGTCCGCGGAAATCCAGGTGACGTCAGAAAGGAAAAATCTAGAAACAGACACATATCCGTAAGGGCTTCGCCCCCTGCCGTCGGCTGTGAGGCTTGGTCGCCGTCGTGAAGCAGCGTCGGAACTCCGAACGGGGGCCACTGGAGATACGAGCGTGCCCAAATCCATCAAAAACCTGAGGAATGTCTCAGATGTTGGCTTCTTGGGCCCCTCTTGGGGGTGCTCTGGGAGCGCTCGTGAGGGCCTCTTGGGAGCCTCTTGGGCCGTCTTGGTACGTACCATCTTGGGCGCCTTGGAGCATTCTTGGGCCGTCTCGGAGGCCTCTTGTACCGTCTTGGAAGCCCTTTGCAAGTATTGTGGTCTCGAAAGCGCGAATATTGAGTTGTTGTTGCGAGGGTTTCGGATTTCGGGGACGTGAAGCGTCATTTGAGATGGATCGTGGCTTCGGGGACGCAGATACTGCATAAATTAGGAGAGGGTCTTTCTTCGGAGACGCGAATACGGTATATTAGACCAGCAATTATGGTCTCGAGAGCGCGAACACATGATAGTTCGCGAGGGGTTATGGCCTCGGGGACGCGACCATTGCTTAATTTACGAGGGATTGTGGCCTCGGGGGCGCGAATACGGTACAATTTGCAAGGAATTCGGGCCTTGGGGTCGCAAGTCTCATGTGCTTCTACGTGCCCAGGACTCTCCAGCAATGCTGAGAACCCCCCAGGTGGTGGCACCCGGGGCCCTTTATGTCGGCTCCCCCCTCGCGCGGAGTTCAACCAATGCACAGTAGGAAGCAGACAGCATGACTACGACACTGGATACTGGAAACTGGAACTGGCGCAGGGGGCAGCAAGCCTAATCCGCGGAGCCTGGTGGCCCCACGTGGGGGCTGGCGGATTCGTCGATTTCCATGAATTTAAAGGAAAATATGGGAAAAGATTGGAGTCAAACGGCGCCGGAGGATCCGCAGAAATCCAAATGAGACGGCAACATGTCTGGAGTCTCGGCGGCAAGCGAGGGGGGGGAAGTTAGAAGGAGAAGGTCCCCTCGGAGGGCGACGGGGCCTCTCAGGAGCAATCCGGCCTTCTGAGAGGCCCTCCGTGCCTTCGAGGGAGGCAGGAAGGTTGAGGAAACCTTGGAGAAGGCCGGAGGCCTTCCGAGCCTTCGAGAAGGCCCGCCACTTCTCGCTCCCCCCCCCCAGGCTCGCCCCCGAGAGTCGGGCACGCGAGGCGCTGCAGGAGAGGCCTCGCCTCCCAGGATTCGGAGGAGAGCTGCCGCCGCTTCCTCGGCGGCAGGCGCCGGAAGCGGATCGCGCGGGGGGGGGCGGCTCCGCCGGCGGCCGGCCGGCGGGAGCCTCGGCTCGGAGGTTCCTGCTCCGCCGCGCCTCGAGGCCCGCACGCGCCCTGCCGTGCCCAGCGGCTGCGCACAGAATCCGAAGGAATTCATCAGACGCGGTAGTTTCAGGCATCCAGATGCCCGAGCCTTGTCACGCTCTTTCAGAGTTGGAGCCAGAAGTCGTACTCTTCATTTTGTCCAGAGACGTTTTCTCCTCACTCCTTCTTCTCCTTCCGCGGCTTCGCTGGGCCCTCCCCGCACGGGGGCCGCGGGGATCCCCGCGCGCTTTTCGCGCGCGCGTGCCGCAGCCTGGGCCGGAGGGCGGCCCTCCTCCCGAGCGGCCCCGCGGCGGCGCGGAGGCCGCGGCGCGTCGCGGGGGGCGCGCTGCGCGGAGTTGGGGGCGGCCTCGGCGTCGGGGGCTCTCGGCGGCGCCGGAGGGCCGGAGCTCAGAGTAGGAAAAGGTACCCATACCTCTACTCGGGGGTGGACAGACCTCCTACCCTGACACGTCGATCAAGGAGTTGGCCGTTTTCGTCTCGCGAGAGGGCATCGCGGCCGTCATGTGAGCATTCTTTTATTATTTGTTTTTGCTTTCGGCGGAACGCCCCTCCCCCCCCCTCCCCCCCCCCGTAGAGAAGTTCCGGGCTGATTTTGGCACCTGCTTCAATCGATCGGACGAACTACAGGGGCCGGCGCCCCCCCCCCCCTCCCCCGGTAGAAACTCGAATCGCTGATGTGTGCAACTGTGCGCATTTTATCGTGCTACTCTTCTGGAACCACAACGAAAGGGCTCAGGGGCGCCAGACCCGATCGCCAGAAAGCATGCCTCCGGCTGGGCCCTCCCCTGTTATGCCAGCGACGGCCTCGTGGAATCATGAATAGGTGATCCCTAGCAATTCTGGCACAGGCTTGCCAAATCACGCATAGCCTTGGCGCAGCCCCGCGCAGCCGCTGCGCGATTCCCCCATGGGGGGTCTCCCCTAGGATTCCCTCATCGGCATCTCCCACAGGATTCCCCACATGATTCAATCGGAGGCATTGACTACGGGCCGAGAGCCGGACCCCCCCCCCCTCCCCCCCATGCGCCTAAAGCCGGAACCCAGAATAAAAAAATGCTCACCATTTTTGCGGGTCCAGGTCCGTCGGTTTCGGTCCCCAGGCCGTTTTCGCTAAGGGGAGGTCCACTAAAGGGAGGTTTGTCCACCGCCGATCTACCCTTTCCTCGTTTCCCCTTTTTCGGGCCTCCTTGGAGGCCCTCGTCGCCACCGCTGGATTCGCCTCGAGATCCTGGTCAGAACGCACCCCGGGAGAGGTCTGGGGAGCAGCGGTATCGGTACCTGTTGGTTTCCCCAGGAGGGCCCGAGTGGGGGTGGCCGTCGACAAGAGCCCGCGGCCCTCCCTCTTCGCGCCTCCCATGTCTTCCGAGCGATCGAGGAGCACGTTCCGTTGCGATGACAGCCCCTTTGATGGGGCAACGAGC